TGGTGTCCTGCCCACCCCCCTCCGGTCCCCAAAGGAGAGCTCAGCTGAGAATGATGCTAACAAAGATGATAGGAGGGTAAGAAATAAAGGCAGGCCAGTATTTCAGGTGCTGTTCATTGGGTTCCTGCATCAAGCCAGGCTTACAGGCAGGTGTTCCCCTGCATTTTCAGTCATGAGACCTCTTGTTTTCCTTAAGCAAGATTGAACTGGTTTTTGCCACTTACAACTAAGATTTCTGACAACACAGCCTTCAGTGCCATGGCTTTAGACTGATGTTGCTTATTTGGTCTGCCACAGCCTTCCACCACTGGGCAGAGGAAGGACAAAGGGGCTGTGACAGTGACCACTACTGAGGTGTCTAAAAGAGGGACAGAGCTGCCTCAGGACAGCATGGGGCCTAATTCCAGAGCTCCAGGAAAGAGCTTCTCAGAGGAGCCAGGGGAGGGAGGGGGAAACCTGGCCAAACCTTCCTCTCATGGGTCTAAGAACTACTAAATTCAACAGAAAGTCATTTGCCTGGGCTCAGCCCCTTCTCTTTGGCTCGGAGGAGGAGAGAAATCACAGGTTCTCAGGATGGGACTGCTCCAGATCTAGCAAGGCCATCCTGGTCTGCCCCCCAGGGAATTTTGGTAAACCCTAGGGCCACAATGCAGCCCTGTGGGAGAAGGCACTGCAGTGTAGTTTGCTTGGGGGTGGGGAGGGATGGGGGTAGCTGGTGGCACCTAGTCCATCAGTGTGGAAGCTGCTAGGGAACAAGGGACCAGATACACAGCAGCACAGATAAATCTGAAAATGGGGCAAGTGGAAAAAAAAAAGAGTAAGATTCTTAGTACAGTCCCATCCATATATACATATGAAACTATACGTGTTTTTTAAAGATACATCCAAGGGCTTATACTGAACACCAGAGTGGTGCCTGTCTGGGCAGGGGATGGGGTGAACGGGAGTATAGAATGGCAGCTGGGCATGAAGCAGAAAAGAAACAAGAGAAGGGGCTTTCGTGGTCCAGTGATGACACCATGCCTTGAACTGGCACGTCTGAAGAACTTAGCTTGGCACCTAGCCGGGAAGAGGGATAGGCACCAGTGCAAAGGGGACTCTTGTGATCACAACCAGAGCCTTAAGAAATCTAGATGCCTGGGGCCACTCCCACAGGTTCTGATTGAATTGGTCTGGTGCACGCTGATAGGTGGGGTTTTCAGCGTGCCCCTGGTGATCACCATGTGCAGCCACAGCTGAGAACCCCTGAACCAAAGAGATGGATGCACCTGGGTTCTAATCCTGGCTCTGCCACTCACAAGCTTGGTTGTTTTAGGCAAGTCACTTCCCTTCTCTGAGTCCTGAATTCTTTATCTAAAAGGACTAAATCACCCTGTCTTGAGGAAAGAGAATGTCAAGAGAGTAGGCACACCAGGGTCTGGTCACATAGATGTAGCTTTCTCTGCTGCAGTTGGACCCTCCCCACCCCCCACCCCCCCATCCTTGCAGGAAGAAGCTGGGCTAGGAACATAATTCCATCAAGTAAGAGAACTATGTGAAGCCTATGAAGGTTTTTATTTCTCACACTTCACTTTAGGTCAAGTTCCAGGGCAAATAAAGGGTCCCCCTACCTCACAAGACCGGGAGGATGCTTCTCAGATGAGGGCTGCCAGATAAAATACAGGATGCCCAGGGACATTCAAATTTCAGAAAAACATTCTTTTTTAAGTATGTCCCAAATATTGCATGGGACATACTTGCACTAAAAAATTATTGTTCTGAAATTCAAATGTAATGAGGTGTCCTGTATTTTTATTTGCTCAATTTGACAACCTTAATGACACTTTCATTTGTTCGTTTTCAATCTTGTGAGGGAGGGGGGAGGGGATCTCTATTCTGGAGTTTTACAGCTGACAGTCTCTAAAGGAACTATGTCACCTCCTTATTCCTTGTGAGGAAAAGGAAATCAGAGAGTTCTGGATTACACAAACACTGGCTCCCTTGTGTTTATCTACTTGTTACCTTAGACACCACCATTAGAAAGCCCAGTTCGCCCAAGAATTGGGAGAGGGAGATCCCCTTTATGGTGGAATTTCTGTGGTTCTCATGTTACCTTTCCTCATGCTGGCAACAGTAGGGTACCTGTTGCCTGAGCTCAAGCCATAAAAAAATCATGAAAGCTTAGCTTATTTTCATTATAACTTTTTTTTTCTGATCATGAGTCATTGGTAACTTTGGTGGGGGGGGGGGGTGGAAATCACCCATAATCCCTTTACCCAGATGTACCCAATGTCAATGTGCTCTTCCCCTGGGAAGGAAACATTCAGCCTTGATCACATGCCAGAAACTTCCCCATTATCTCCTATAACCTTCCGAAAGAAAAAGAACTTTATTTCCCTTTCTGATTGTAAAAGCACCATAAGCTCTTCACACACGTATATATGTATTTTTAAAGGTAACTCATAGAGGTATAAAGACATGAAATCCACCTGGACTCCTATCACTCAGAGATGGAATTCCTTTGAATCTCACTTGTGAACCTGGTCCTGGGGCACCTGTACTACAGGTGCTTCCTATCAGCCAGCACATCTCAGGCCCTACCTGAAGATAAGGAAACTGACTCACGTCTGCCACGTTGTACCAGTGTTCCAGGGGGGCTCTCTCCTTTTCCTCCATGGGGGTTGAGGCATTGGAGGGGCTCAATAAAAGTTTGCTAGGCGAATGGGGAAAGAGTCCATGACTCCTCACAGGTTTATTCAGATTCACTAAGTCACCAAAGGCTGCTTCCAGTTTGTATTTTCAAAAAACCCCAAGCCATTTGCATTGGTTATGCTGCGATTTCTTGGCTGTTACCTCAACACATGGGCTATGTGAGGGAGCAGGTGAATGAGGAGTGATTGTTTCTCTGCTCTGTAGGAATAAAAAACTCCAAAAAAGAGTTACAGATCTAGGAGGCTTTAGAAATCTACGTCTCCTGGAGGTGAAATGCAGAACCTTCCATGGAAAAGAGTGTGGGGGAATATGGTTAAAATGCCCAAGTAAGGTCCCAGCTTACAGGGTGGTTAGCTATTCGTAGTCTGGTCTGCCTAAGCATGAAATTCAGACATGTGCTTCCTCCTACATGCAAATGGGCAGAGATTCTGATTTCTTAGATGTTATTTCTTAAGTATCTTCTATGTGCCAGGCACTGTGCTGTATCCCTTTCATATATCGTGTCACCCTGCCAACAATGCCATGAGGTGGTGCTACCATGAACCCATTTTATGGATGAAACTGAGGTACATAGAGGTTCAGTCACTTGGCCAAGCCCACACAGCTGGCAAGTTGAGAGCCAGGTATAAAACAGAGGTCTGTGTGACTCCCAACCCTCTCCTCTTTTTTTTTTTTTTTTTTTCCCTTTAAGGTTATTTATTTATTTTGAGAGAGAGAGCGCTCACGCACACACAAGCAGGTGAAGAGCAGAGAGAGAGAGAATCCCAAGCAGACTCCTTGCTATCAGCAGAGCCCGATGTGGGGCTTCATCTCATGAACCATGAGATCATGACCTGAGCTGAAATCAATGGTCGGACACAACCAACTGAGCCACCCAGGCACCCCTCAACCCTATCCTCAGAAGTTCTGCTGCCTTCCTCCTTCTTTGGAAGGAGGGCACAGCCGGGATGCATGCATTTTCCCTCCTTGCCCAGTGGTGGTATGGGTGGCAGTGGTGGCCAAGGAGCCCGGGCTGGAGTGTTCGTTCCTTCAAGGTGTAAGGCAGAAAACCCAGAAACAGCCCAGACATTCAGATATACCAACCAGGGTACATCTATACCACAGAATACTACTCAGCACTTAAAAAGGAACAAACTACTGATTTACATGGCAACAACATAGATGATTCTCAAAAATACTGTGCTTTGATGAAGAAGCCAGGTAGAAATGCATATATACTGTATGATTCCATTTATATGAAGTTCCAGAATAAGTGCAACTAATCTGTGGTAAAAAAATCAGAACACAGGCTGCTTCCAAAAGAGGGGAACTTTCTTGGGTTATGGGCAGGTGTATAAGTCTCTCAAAACTCAAACTTGAGATCTGTGTATTCCCTGCAAGTAAATGACACATAGGGCTACGTCCAGATTCTCTGAGCAAACTGATCTCCCTTTACTGCCCCAGAAATCCAGGCTGGGCTGGCTCACATGTAACCTGTGAGTTCAAGAGCTAAGGTCACAAATAGCAGGTCAGTGGTCTCCAGGGGCTGGAGGTAGGGGAGAATGAGGATATGGGTCTCCTTTGGGGTGATGAAAATGTTTTGGAACTAGAGGTGATGGTTACCAACTGAATGCCACTGAATTGTGCACTTTAAAATGGTTACTTTGACATTATGGGACTTTTAAATCATTTTAAAAGAAAAAAAAAAGTTTCAAGGTAAGGGTTTCTACGCCCAGGAATTCTCACCACCAGATTTCAGCATTAGTGGCTGCCTCCTCTGTTAGAGTCAGGCCTAGCCTGTCTTGTCTGCCTGCCTCCCCGGTGGACCTTGAGCCCCTGGCAGTGGACACTGTAGATGTGCGAGGACTGGGCCATAAATTTGATTGCTGAGTAAGTGGATGTGCTAATGACTGAATGCATGAGTGAGCGAGCAAACACATGCATAAGTGAGTGAATGACTGAGTGAGCAAATGAACAGGGAGAGAAGGAATTAGCAAAGGAATGGGTAAAAAAAAATGAGTAAATGCGCAAGTACCTGATGAAGGGGTCTGAATGAACCTGGGCCAGGACATGGACTCTGGACCCAACCCGTGTGGGTTCCAGTCCTGGCTTTGCAACTCAAGTTATTTAACCTCTCTGTGCCTCAGTTTTCCCATCTGTAAAATGAGGATGGTGGGTTGTGGTAAAAAAAATAAAAAAATAAATAAGAGTGAAAATGCGGCAACTGCTTAGAACAAGGCTTGGCAAAGTAAGCCCTTCGTGTTTGTGAGTATGAAAGAAATACACATCCATGCACACAGAATTACTGCTTGGTCCAGACCGTGACCTACCGAGGAGCTGCACCTCATCCGTGATGCCATAGACGTCGATGAGCGCCCAGAGCGGGCCGCCCACGGCCACGCCACAGTGGAAGAGCACCGGCTCGCCGTCGTTGACGCTGTAGAACACGCGGCCGTGACGGTCTGCCCAGTAGGCCAGCACGGTGTCACGCAGCGCCAGGTTCTCGGGCAGCGCCTTGGCCCAGTAGCCAGGTCGCGTGACAAGGTCGGGGCAGGCGTACTTGGGGATGTCCTGGGCGCTCATGAGCGACGGGTCGTGCGCCGTGAAGCCAAAGCGCAGTGCACCGCTCCAACCCGGGCGCACTGCCACCAGGCGCAGCCGCACCTGCTCGTACAGTCGGATGGGCCGCTGCGTGAACGTGACGCCGTTGCAGAAGCTGTTACGCCGGGTGGCCCGCCGCGAGTGGCCATCTAGTCGCACGTTCTTGCCCTTGGCCTGTGCGTGGAAGCGGGGCGCTTCGCCTAGGACCGGGCGCCGTTCCGGCCCTGGGCCACAGCATGGGCGGGTGGCCAGGAGGCGTGCCGGCGGGCTCGGGTCTGCGGGAAGAGACAGGCAGCAGGGTTAGGGCCTCTCAGAACTTTCACGGCCCCAATTCGACTTTTAATAATCATTGCCATTTTAAAGTCTATCTTCATTAGACTGGTAATTGATAAACTTTGGGAAGGTTCCAGCTACCGCCAGCCTACCTATGACTATCACACGCAATACCCACTCCACAGATGAGCAAACCGAGGCTTAGTGTGTGTGTGTGTGTGTGTGTGTGTGTGTGTGTAGTGAAAACCTTTTCAGAGCTGTTTCATTCCCAGTAGGGCCAACACCAATGAATTTGTCACAACAACCAGGCTGGGGTCAGGTGACTTCTCTGTCCCTATCAAATCTCCAAATCTAGAAGCTTCCTCCAAGGGCCACTTTTGGGCTGTAGAGTCCTTCCAAAGGCAACTGGGGCCTTGGGTTCTTAGGGGAGTAGTGGGGGTCTGGCTGATTTTCTCTGTGCAAATTTGGTTCAAAAGCAAGGCAGAAAAGGCAATAGAAAGAAGGTAGGCTTGGGGTCATTCCCCTGACAATAGAATAAAAGGCAATATAGAGTGCAGCCTGGAATCCCAGCTCTCTAAGCACTTCCTGGCTGTGTGACATGCACTAGATCTTGTCACTTCTTTAGCCTGTTTCCTTGCCTGTAAAATGGGAACATTGTTTGACCCACACAGCTGCTACAAGGTCATGAGGATGAAGTTCCTAGAATACTGCCTGGCACAGTGTGATAACATGATCAGAATACTGAGGTTCCAAAGGAAACCCAAGCCAGGATGCTGTGACTTCCCCTCCCATTTACCCACAGAAAATGAAGGCATTCTTTATAAACAAGGTTAGCTTTTCTAGAACATGCACCTTTCAAGATTCATCTTTAAGGGAATTTTGCCCAGAGGACCTGGAGAATCTTGGGAAGGTCTCTTTTCAAAGGAGCTGGTTGCTGGCCACAGACCCAGGTGGCTTAGTATTGAGGTGGGAGCTTCATCCCTCCCACCTGTCCTCCATCCCAGGGGCAGTTCCTGCGAGACTCTGGAAGCCTGGGAGATGGTGGGGTGGGTAATTACTGCACGAGTCTCTGCTGCTCATTCACAACAGCAGCTGAGTACAATTTTCATGGCAAGTGCTTATAAATTGCAGGCAACCCCTAGCACACAATGGTCTGTAGACGTGGGAGAAGAACAGCCTTCCGGGGAGCGAGAATCCACTGCAGGGACTAGTCGTCCCACACCCACCCACAGGGTTCACTGTGCTCTGGGCACGTTGCTGGGCTTTCATTAATGCTGAGCCTAGTGGGAGTGAGGACTGGGGAAAATGAAGAGGGAGAGGCGATGATGAGGCAGGCAAGCTGTGGCTCCTCTCCCCAAGCCTGTGGGGAGGGGTGCCCCAGTCACGGAGGTAGACAGCCATGCTGGGAAGCTGGAGGCCCCCCTCCAAACAGAAGCCACAGATCCACAGAAGAAAGTATAAGAAATGAAGCCAAGGTCCTGCATAAGAAAAAAAAAAACTTGAGGGACTTAAATCATTCATTCATTTAACAAATGTTCAGTGAGCACCTCGTATATGCTAGGCACTGGGAATACAACCAGTTACCAAGGGGGAGGAGGCTCCCACTCTGATGGAATGGGCATTCCGGGGGCGGGGGTGAAGCAAAGTTAGGCAACAAGGAAAACCTACTCTACCTGGTGGGATGCATTACAGAGAAAAACGTAGCCAAAGAAGCAGGGAAGAACGAAGCATTAGCACTTCCACGGAGGGCCTCTTTGATGAGTGACTTCTGAGTCGAGGCGAAGGGAGTGAGCCACGAGGGTATCTATCTCGTTCCAGGCAGGAAGAGCGCTCCAGGCAGGGGTAACGACAAGTGCAAAGACCCCGAGGTGGGAATGTGCTGGCGTGGCTGAGAAACAGCAAGGAAGCCAGCTGGGAGGGTGTGAGCAAGTAGGGGAGGTGGAAGCAAATGAGAGCAGAGCTGGAGCCGCGAGGGGGTGGCAGGTGGGGAGGAGATCCCATGGTTGCTGCTTGTTTCTTCCTTAACTAATTTACTCCGAGGGAGAGGGACATTACTGGAGGTTTAGAGCAGAGAGGTGAGACTGCTAGGCTGTTGTGTGGAGAGGGGACTGCTCGAGGGGGCGGGCAAGGAAGCTGGGGAGGACAAAGGCTACTGGATTATTCCAGGCAGAGATGATGATGGCTGACATCGGGAGGTGGGGAGGACCTGTAAAGGTGGTGAGAAGGGGTCAGATTCTGGTCCTAGAGATTTGGAGTTTTGAGGTTTTAATGAGACATTCAATATACTTGCCTTGGGTGTATAAAATATATGCAATAAATAAGACAAATAATGGATACTTAAAGGGGAGGCGGAGAGGTGGTAAGGAGGGAGAGGAAGACACCAGTGCTGGATCCTGGAGGGCGGGGGCTTTTCCATTTCATCTTTGATTCCCCCATGCTCAGCAGAGGCCTGACACTTACCAGGCACCTGATAAATGCCAACTGTTGTCTCTATTACGTTAGAGCTAGAGCAGACCTCAGAAATCATCTCTGAGAAGCCCATTTTACGGGTGGGGAAATGGGCCCAAAGAGGGAGAGGGGCCTGCCAAGTTGAAGTTCAGTAGGGGTTTGGGCAGGCCACCTCTGATAAAGGAGACAATGTCACGGTTACTTCCACCCAAGGAGGATAAGGAGAGCCCTCTTTTGCTTATAAGCCGGGTTGGCTTGGTTTCTCATGTTTGCAGCCCAAACTTCCTTGATTGATAGGAGTTCCTCCATAGCCTTGAAGGAGACCTGAAGGAAAGGGAGCCACACAGGGCTTTCGGCAGAGCAGGCCAGCACGGCCTGCCAGGGAAGGGCCCCCAAGGCAGTGAGGAGGGTGAACCCAGAGCCAGACTGTGGGTCATCTCCAGAGCCACAAGGATAAGAGCAAGGGCCCACTGGAGAGCTTTTTGGAAGACAAAAATGAGCTAAGTAAGGGAAGTACCAGGTGTAAACCGTCAGGAGAGGCAGCTCAGGGACCACAGAGCCTGCATCCCCATGCATGCCGTAGCCTTGTGCGAGCCGCTCAGCTTCTCTGGGTTGCAGCTTCCTCCAGTACCCACAGGCCGAATTATCCCCAAGGTCCCCACAGCTGGCAAACACTCCAGGAAACATTAAATAGGACCACAGATCTAAAGCCCTTCTGAGCACCAAAGACCACAAGCCACTGTTATGTGATTATTTTTCTCGCCCCTGCCATCGCTGTTGTTTTCCCAGCCTTGTCTCTCAATCCGAGAGTTTCTTTGCAAAACAGCTTGGGAATCCTTACATAGATAATCAGTCAGAGTGGCCTGGCGGCTGAAATGAACGCTGGCTGGGGAGACACAGAAGGGGAAGTTTCCTGTAAAACCAACTATATGTTAACACAAAATCTAGCCAAGTGACCAGCGGAGTTTACAGACTCGTTTAGGCTTGATTAAATGATCCAGCTTCCTTCGGGGAGTGAGGGATAAACACAGTTTCTACCTCCTCAGAGGTCAGCGCCCTGACATGAGGCAAAAAGACCAGACTGAAAAAGTGTCTAAAGAGGATGTGTTATTTATGCAAATAGAAAATGCTTAAGGTGAAAGAACAATAATCAATCTCCAAATTGTACACCAACGTCTGCTTTTAGCTTGGCTCGGGGAAAGTGGCTTCTCCAAGAAAGAGAAAAAATGTCAGTGTGGATGGACCCCAGGGGCCCTGCAGAACATCCTAGTTCAGAGAGGTCGACGGAAAAACTGAAGTTTATCGCTTAAATTACTGCAGTAAACACCACGAACCACATTATGGAAAGTTTGGCAAGGATGAGAAAAATCCCTCCCTTCTCCCTGCCTTCACACCCTAACTCCCACGGCATTTTTCATCGGCCCTGCCCGGCCCTTATCCACGTAAGGACCATTGGCTGTGCCCTCGCTGTGTGCTGTGGCCTGGGCCAGGTGTTCTCCATTTAGGGTTGTGGCTAATTCTCCAAATGAATCTTCACCTGCAGAATTGTTGAGGTGAAAAACAAAGCTCCAGGCAGTGGAGACACTTCCCTTGGCTGCAAGAAGCAGTGTTGAGACGTAAACCCAGCAATGTCTGACTCCAAACCAGCGTTCCTTCCTCCTGCCCCAGCTTTCTTCCATAAGCGGTGCGGAAGTACTGAGCACCTTTTCCAAGTTCGTTGCAATCAGAGCCCCCAGCCAGTTTTGCTTCCTGCCTTCTCTTTTCTAACTCAGCATTACATAAAAAGCATTCCTCCCCCCCTCCCCCCCCATGGCTCTTGAGCATTCACAGTGCTTGTGTTTCATGGCTGCAGAATATTCCATCGAGGGCCAAGATGCCCCCCACCGTTCCCCTCCTGGGGATCACTTCAGCTGTTCCCCCAAATGGCTGAGTCTGTGGGCACAGAGGTTCCTAGCTGCCAAGACCAGATTCAAATGGGCACACTGTAACTGGTGAGAAAACCTTCTGCCAGGACGAGGCCCCATGCCCCCTTCCTTCTATGGAAGGATGAGTACCCGCCGGCTTGTGAGGGGGGCCACCTATGGCCAGTGAGCCCCCTCTTCTTCTGGCCAGGAATCAGACCTGGGGACTCTAAGGACAAGGCAGGGCAGAGGGAGTCTTGTGAAGTAGGAGCCCAGGAGACCTCTGCAGCAGCCCATCCCGGGCGTAGGAGGGAGCAGGAAACAGTCCTGGCCCAGCCTCACAGTTGACCAAAGGCTGCTCCAGCCCCACCAAGGTCAGAGGGGAGGGTCTTTCCAGCGTTTGATCAAGGAAGCAATGCCTGGACTTTAAACGCATGGGCCAGAGATTTGGGTGTGGGGTGAGTACTGAGTGGCTGTGGATGGTTAGGGAGGACGGGACTCTATTCTGATTAAATGTTGCAACCCCCCAGCCTTGCATGAGTCCTTTGGTGAGACAGGTGGACAGAAGAGCAGTTCTGGTGGTGGCTCTGTGGTCCTCCCGCATCAGTGCCTTAGAACACCCCTCCTGGGCTCTGAGTTCAAGCCTGTGCTTT